ACTTTGAAAGTTAATTAATAATTAAGAGACTTTCCTGTAACTCTTTATATGCGTTCCTAACATCTTGCTCGTTTACACAGGGAAATTCATCTACGCCACTATTTATTAAAAAGCCTTTGAATCCTTTGACACCAGCGTTTATTAAAGGAACCAAATCATTCTAGAAATAATGAATAGTAAATATCAGATTGTATTATATATATATATATGGGGGTTGAGTCAATAGAAACCAAGCAAATATTTTTTAATAAGTTTTTTTATAACTTTAAACAAGGATAACTTAACAAAAACTTAATCAAATTTTGTAAAAATTTTTTTAAATTAATTCTACAAATTTGTAATTATTTAAAAAAATTTTTATTAAATCTGGTTAAGTTTTTGTCAAGTTATTCTTGTTTAAAGTCATAAAAAATTTTTATTATAAAAAATTTGCTTGATTTCTATTGACTCACCCCATATATATATGTTTTATAAATTGGTTTAAATAAAATAATTTATAACCTTATTTCCTGGAATAACTCCACCATAAAAACCAACATCGACCCAGCATTTTCCTTTAGCAGCGTCAATTTTTTGTTTTAAATTATCAACGGTAGTAGTTGGAGGAATTGAATTTAATGGCATGTCAATAACAGTGGTTACTCCACCTGATATTTTGAATAGTAAATAAAACAGAATTGAACCAAAGTATATATTTGATTAAAATCACAAACAAAAAGTACCAGCAGCAGCAGCTTTAGTTCCACTTTCAAAACCTTCCCAATCAGTTCTACCAGGTTCATTCAAGTGAACATGAGCATCAACAAATCCAGGCATAACAAGATTGTCACCAGCATCGATGAATTTATCATTTTCTAGAAAAGTATAAGAATCAAGAGATGATTTTTTGTTGACAATAGCACTGATATGTCCATGTTTATCGATTTCGATCGTAGCGGGCAAAGGATTAATTGAGTCAGAAGTAAGAATACGAGAACCAGTTATAACCAGAGAAATATCCCGCGACATTATATAGTGAATATAAGATTTAAAACAAGAAAGACTTCAAGAGTATTGGGTGTGCAGTTTTTATTAGAGTTAAAACCATTGCATATCATTTACATGCAGCATTTTATCATTGTTTGTTCGACAGTCAATCTTAGTCAATCAACTTCCAAGTGAGTTAGGCATTAAGTAGAGCTTTAACGCCTTAGGAATTAATAAAGAAATTATTATAATGTAAGCATCTTTTAAACAACTTTTTATATAAAGAATATATTTTAATATAACTTTACTAAGGAAAAATTTTGAAGTTTAAAATTTCATTCTTAGTACAAGTTTTAATTTTTACACAACAGCTGTAATAATAAAAGCTAATGTTCTTTGTATCGTATTAATTATAAGTTTAAAACCAACTTATATTTAAAAAGTTTAAATTATTTTTAGTTAAAAAAAATTTTTTTAAATTATCGTTACAGTATATATTTCTGGCTTGTAAACGAGCAAGATGTTAGGAACGCATATAAAGAGTTACAGGAAAGTCTCTTAATTATTAATTAACTTTCAAAGT